CAAAAAAAAAAAAAAAAAAAAAATTGTAATACTCAATATATACTGATAATAAAAGACGAATACAAGTCACATTTGACTTCTGCAATTACAAGTGGTGTTCAAAGTGGTTACCATCAGCATTCAAACACTTCTGATTACAGTGAACATCTCTTAAAATGTGTATACATTTTTTTGGGAACCCTGACGTGTATACACAAAACACATATATAAGACATGCATATAGATAGATGTAGACGAACATACAGGTACAGTAACAGGAAGTACACACTACCACTCATTTGTTGAAGCTTCATTAGGAGATTAGGAAAGAAAGTATAGAGAAGATTTACTTTTTCACTATGTATACTTTGTAATTATTGGACAGTGTTTTTTTTAACCTTTCAAAGTATCCATACACATCTGTATGATTAGATTTTTTTAAAGATAATAAAATAAAGGAGGCAATGGTAAGAACCAGCTTTGAACATGGAAAGGAAGTATGTCCTATGTTAGATGGAGGAAGTTCTAAAGCAGACACTCTGGATGCCAACAGATACACCCCTACCAGACAACAGTACTTTCACCCCTCTACTGCCAAATCTGTATCCAAACACCAGGTCAACTACCTGTTCATACAAGACCTTGGAAAGTCACACAATTTTTCCATTTTCCTTGGCCATTTAGGTTTTATTCCTCAATTGATTCTAACAGCCATAAAACTGGGTCCTTGGGTGACTTTGCTATGGCCCTATGAAGAACTGTGTCCACTGAGTTCCCATGGTCTCTTCCCAAAGGGGGTCTCAGAGGACCCTTGCTTTATCATTTATGAGATGGTTATACTTAGACATCATCTATCACATCACCTTTGGGAAGAACCATCCAAAAAATGTTCTGAGACCTAACTGCCATGCAATAGTGACACCACTCGGGAACTGCTCTGCTTTCTCCTCAGAGTTGGTGCACATCCTGTGACCATAATTCTCTGGTTGTGATGAGTATCAGAGATATTAAACAGTAGCTGACAGTTAATATAACTCACAGAATACTCTGGTCACACATTATGTTCCAACATTAGTCGTCTCGGGAGAATTCTATTATGCTGTTTTTACTCACACATTTCTGACACCAAATGGCTAGGTTTTCCCTTACACCAACCAATTCAATTCTCCAGCACCAAATAGATGCCCCAAAATTCGAGTCAATTCTGACACCAACTCCTGGAGTCAGTGATGAACTCACAGGTTAAGAGTTCAGTTTCACAAGACCAACCCCACTTCAGACACTAACCGCAAGTGTGGGTGGGGTCCCCAGGTTACCCACACTTCTGTCCATCTTGGCTACAAATGTAAGAGTTCTCACAACCCACCTGCAGGTTCAATAATTCACTAGAAAAACTCACAGAACTAGGAAAACACTCTAGTCATCACTACTGGTTTATTATACAGGATACAACTCAGGAACAGCCAAATGGAAGAGATACAGAGCATGGGGCGGGGGTGTGAGGGTGGCATGAACTTTCATGCTCTCTCTGGGCACACCACCCTGCCAGTATCTTGATCTGGTCATCAACCCAGAAGTTCTCCAAACCCTGTTGTTGAGGGGTTTTTATGCAGGCTTTGTTACAGAGATATGATTGATTAAATCACTGGCCATTAGTGGTTGTGCTCAATCTCCAGCCCCTCTCTGCTTTCTGGAAGTTGGGGGTATGACTGAAGGTTCTAAGCTTCTAATCAAGGCTTTGTCCTTTTGGCAATCAACCTCCATCCTGAAGCTATCTAGGAGTCCACCGAGAGTCACATCATTAGAGCAAAAGAGACTCCTATCACGCTTTTCACTCAGAAAATTTCAAACGATTTAAGAGCTCCTGGAACTGGGGACAGAGATTAAATATCATTCTATAATATCACACCTATGAACAATATATTCCCAATCCTACTTTGCCTAGATGTTAAATTTAGAGTCTAAGATTATGTAGAAATTCTGCTTTACCAATGTACTCATTTTTATTTAATTTAATTGACTTTTAAAGTCCTCCAGAAATCAATCACACAATGAAGGAAAGAATGAACAAACCAAAGTCACCTGGGCCTTGATCATTTTCTTCTGTTACTGGGAATTGGCCAGTAACTGGGATGCTGTAACTTTAGTCGCTTCTTGAACTGCCCTAAATTCTAGTTGGAAATTTTAGTCTCTGGCCAGTGGTGTCTCCATAAATGATGATATCCAGGTCATGGAACCTCCTCCTCACATCATGTGATGTGTCTTGCTCCTGGAGCCAGGATCTGTGGGCTGAAGAGTAAATTCACTTTGAGTGGGCATTCCCTCAGTCCAGGTGCTGTCACTGCTGCTATGTAAGCACCTTAATTCATGGTCTTCTCTAAGTGTCCCTTTATTTGTGGCCTCATAAGTTTTTACACTCTGAAGCAATAAAACCTAAGATTCTAAATGTGTTACATTTACAAGTAGAAAGTTGCTATGCACCTCACATACACATCTCAGTTTGAAGATGACTGTGAAAAGTACAGGCACTGTCTTATTTAATTTCTCATTGTTGTCTACTTAATCATATCCTTATAAGGTTTAAATCATTATTTCCTAGTCCAACATTAACCTAAGGTTTATGGATTAACAGGTAGACACTGAATCCAAGTGGCCTGCCTCTAAGAACAGAACATTTGCCACTGTATTTTCTTGGGCCACATACCCTCATCATAAGTCTTAGCTCTCTCTGCTACTATCTTGAGGGAGTTTCATTCCTACAGAATCATGGATGATGGTCACATAGTCACAGACATACAATCTGAACTTAAAGAATCAGCTCTGCTAACAGTGACACATGCCACTACTTTCCTTCACAAAGACAAATGAAAAAGCTGCATGCCACCATACCCATGACCTGAAAGCAACAGGTCAGAAACCAACAGCCCCAGAGGCTTTCCAGATAGCAAATTCTAGAGCTTGATTGAGAGTGTCACATGGTGAGACTATCCACTGGATGGTGTCATCTTGAGCTTTCCTTCTAGCCTTCCTGGGTAGAATCACTGTGACAAGGTCCTGTGGCTCTCCTGCATACTCCAAACCCCCAGGGACTTACTCATCCTCTGACCCACAATTGCATATGCTCCCCCACCCTCTGCAATCCCAGAAGCACATTATTGTGGCCATAGACTTTTCAGACTTGTCTTCTGGGAACAAGCATGGGCAGGAGGCAGTGGATGTAACATTTTAGAGACATCCAGGGTATGTACCTCAAATGACAAGACTCCCTTTCCCATAGGCTTCCACAGCCCTTTACCCAGGTATAGCTGAAGAGTTTTTACTTCATTTTTGACCCTTAAGAACTTTCTATAGAATGTATTTATTCCTATTTCTTCTAGTGGTTAGGTCCTTTCATTGGAGGGAGTGCACATTTCCTGAAAATATATGCATATAAAGGAAGCCATAAAGAAAATTTCCACAAATTCTAAAGCATCATTATCAAATAGGCCATGTTCACAAATCATTATTATATGAAAAAAAGTCAACAGAAAAAAATTAAAACATATAAAACAAGACTATGTATTATTTTTGGATGTATATACATTAGTAAAACATGCATTATATGAAACATGTTCAAGAGAACAATTACCTCTGTGAAAGGGAAAAGTGGGGTAGACTAAAGGATATCACTAAAGTTGTACTTGCATCACTTTATTTCTTTCTAATAAGACCAACAACAACAAAAAAATCAAGTACATCATGATTTACATGAGTAAAAATAGCAGAGTAGGCAGCTCCAAGGGCCCATCCCTCCTCAGAAACATCAAAAGCTCAAGTAAAGACAATAAACAAAAAAACTTTGTCAAAACTCTGAAAAATAGGCCAGGCTCAGTGGCTCAGCCTGAAATCCCAGTACTTTGGGAGGCCAAGGTAAGTAGATTGCCTGAGTTCGCAGGATGGAGGCAACTTGGTGAGACCTCATCTCTACAATAAATAAAAAATTAGCTGAGCATAGTAGTGCACGCCTGTGGTTCTGGCTACTTGGAAGGCTGAGGTGGAAGGATTGCCAGAGCCCAACAGGTGGACGCTGGGGTGGCTGTGAGCATGCCACTGCACTCCAGCCTGGGCAACAGAGTGAGACTCCAACTCAAAACAAATAAACAAAACTCTGAAAAATAGCCCCAAGTATATAGAAATAGAGCAAATACTAATTTTTTAAAAAGACAACTTTAGGCCAGGTGTGGTGGCTCATACTTGTAATCCCAGCACTTTGGGAGGCCAAAGTGCGAGAATCACTTGAGACCAACAGTTCAAGATCAACCTGAGCAATACAATGAGACCTCATCTCTACAAAAAAAAAAAAAAAAAAAAAGGCACCTTAAAAAAGGTAGGAGCCGGCAAGCCTGTAATCCCAGCACATTACCAGGCAGAGGTGGGAGGATTACGAGCCCACAGGTTTGATACCAGCCTGGGCAACATGGTGAGACCTCATCTCTACAATAAATAAAAAAAATTAGCCAGGCATGGTGGCATATGCCTGTAGGTCCAGCTACTTGGAAGGCTGAGGTAGAAGAATCGCCTAAGCCCAGTAGGCCAAGGCTGCAGTGGCTGTGAGCATGCTACTGCACTCCAGCCTGTGCGACAGAGTGAGACTCTGAGTCAAAAAAAAAAAAAAAAAAAAAAGGTAGGAAAGCTCTGTGCCATTTTTACTTGCCTTTGCTCCACCCTCACTCAGCTCAGTGGTGGTCTTGAAGATTGCAGTTAATACTTCCAATGTGGGATTCTGGATCCAGGCCCTAGAAAGAACAGAGCAGTCTTTACTCACAAAGAATTATGTTTCTGTTCTAACCTGTCTGGGGGCTACCTGAAGGACTTATACAATGCACTCCTTCTTGTTTTGGAACTCAGGGTAAAAAAGCAGCAGGCATTTCTCAAAAACCTTGTAAGGCAGAAGAAAAACCTTCAGCTGCTAGGGCAAATGATTAAAGCTGAGTCATAGAGAAATGGTTATTAGGAAAAGCTGGGAAGAAAGTTTCTTGGGAAAACTGTGTCATTCAAAAGCACTCATATAGATAGGAAAATTTATAAAGTCAAGTGCATGCAGGTGGCAGAATGCCTGCAGAGAAAAGACCTAAAAAGAACTTAAGCATTCCCTGTGGCTGATGTCTAAGTTCAGTGTAAGCAGGATGTGAAGACTCAGGCAGAGTTGTAGATGGCCTGACTAATAACTGAAGAACAACCCCAGCACACAAAAACCTTATGCAAGTGAAAAATGTCAGACTCAAAATTGTCATATACTATACGATTTCATTTTTATGAAATATCCAGATTAGGTAAATCTATAGAGATAGAAAGCACACTGTGGGTTGCCAGGGTCAAGGGAAGGGGGGAATGTAAAGTGATTGCTTAATGAGTACAGGGTTTCCTTTCAGAGTGCTGAAAATGTTTCGGAACGAGACAGAAGTGGTGGTTGCACAACATTGTGAATGTACTAAGAGACACTGAATTGCTGACTTTAAAATGGCTAATTTTATGTCTCATGAACTTCACCTCAACTTAAAAAAATCAAATACAACTTACATATTTTCTATGAAACAACAGAAGTAATTTCTCTAAAGGCAAGAGCAAGGTAAGAAAGAGCAGTACCACCACCACTATCTTAACTATTCTGGAAATGTTACCCAATTAGTTCGATAGAGAATCAACTAAGAATAATATTAGAGAAGAGGAAACAAATTATAAGATGTTTCCCAATATGGCAAAGTAAGAGTTAGAGTTTCACAGATTCAACTAAACTTATACCCAAAATAAGCTTTTAGTCAGATGGCTGCTTATATATATTTAAAAACTGATAGCATTCCAAATTACACACACTTCGTTATCAGTATTAAATAACTAAATGGTTTTGGGAATAGTGTATCACTTTATATTGAATACTTTAAATAGAGACATTACTAGAAAATCCAGTTTAGAAATTTTAGCAAAGGAAATAGTGGCACATGCAAGCAAAGTTGATATAAAATATTACTTAGGTCTATTTATAGAGAATGAATTAGATGACTAGCAGTACACACATCCAATCAATTACTGTGCGGCTATTAGGAATATTAACAACCTACATCTAATTTAAAAAAAAAAAAAAGTACTTCAAAGTCATGTATAGCATAAGAACATGAAAAGTGGCTCAACATCCTAAGTCTTCAGAGAAATGCAGATCAAAAACATGGAGCTACTACTTTACATTCACTAGAATGTCTATGATAAACGAAAAATAACAAGTGTTGGTGAATATATGGAGAAATGGGAACCTTCAAATATTGCTAATGGGAATGCTAAATGTTACAAAGACTTTGGGAAAAAGTTCAGTAGTTCCTTGAACAGTTAAACATATTTACCATATGACCTAGTAACTCCATTCCATTGATATACAAAGGAATTAAAAACATGTCCACATACAAGCTTGTACACACAATGTTCATAGTAGTATTACTTATAATAGCCAAAGGGAGGAATAACCTAAAAATCCATCAACTGACCAAGGAATAAACAAAATGTTCTATATCCATACCATAATATATTATTTGAGTATAAAAAAGAATGAAATATAGATACATGTTACAAAATGGACAAATCTTAAAAACATTATGCTACATACATAAAAGAAGCCAGTCACAAAAGACTGCATATTTACAGAATTTATATGAAATGTTCAGAACAAGTAAATCTATAGAGACAGAAAGTAGTGGTTGGTGGGGGAGGGGGAAGGGATAGAGATGTGGTAGCAAAAGGGTGTGGAATTTCTGAGGTGATGAAAATGTCTAAAATTGACTTTGGGGATAGCTGCACATACTAAAAACACTCAATTATATGGTATGTGAATAATAGAACATTATTAGGAAAAGCTATCAGTAGAAATTAATATACTCCTACTGAAATATTTAGGGACAAATGTATGAATGTCTGCAACTTACTTTGAAATGCACCAAGAAAGAAAAAAAAACAGTATTTTTAAAAGATGGGGTAATGATGTGTGAAGGTGATATATAGGTATGTCAAAAAGGAAACACAACAAAAAGATGATAAAATCTTAGATGGCAGGCATACAGGTACTCAACTGTAAATTTCTTTAAACCTTGTTATATGTTTGAAAATGTTCACAACAAAATGTTGGAGAACATAGAACCTTGTAATAATAAGAGTCTGGTAAGGTTACCAAAAACAATACAAATCGTTTAAATTCTAAGTGCTTTTCTATGTAATAGTAAATTAGAAGAGAACAGATAACCTGCTCTTAAATGTGTTAACTGGCTGGGTATGCTAGCTTACAACCGTAATCCTGGCATTTTGGAAGGCTGAAGTGGGAAGATTGCTTGAGGCCAGGAGTTCAAGACCAGCCTGGCCAACATAATGAGACTCTGACTCTAAAAAAAAATAGATTAAAAAAAAAGTAAAGAAATGTGACATCTCAATTCTTAAGTATTAAAATTCTACCTAAATATATACATTTACTTAGTGATTCCAAAAATAATGGCACAGATTTGCCTCTTGATGGTATACTGTGGTGGGGGCTTTTTAGAAAACGCTTCAAAACATGTATCACAGTTAAAATGTTCCAGTTTTTTCATGCAAAACGCTGTGCTCAGTGCCTGCAGCTGGAACCACAGGCCCCTTCCTGTGTAACCGCCCCTGGTGCAGCGCACCACGCGTTGCTCAGCACCTGCAGCTGAAACTGCAAGCTTTTTCTGTTATTACAAAAGGTCCAAAACTTTCCACCATGAAAAGCCCCTTCTCCCAAAGCCAATGTAAAACATACAAAAGCTGAGGCCCGACTGCGACCCGGGGCCAGCCTTTGCGACTGGAGGCCGCTGGAGCCCAACGACAACGGCATTTCAAAAATAAACGTAGCTTCCTGCTTGCCAGCCTTGGTGTCACCGGTCTCTCTGATTTGTTTTCCTGCAACAATACTATTACAGTAATCCTTTAAAAAAAAGTATGACGTGCTTACTATGCGAGCCATTTATGGTATGAAATTAAACGATAAGGCAGATTATACCAGTGTTTCAGCAGTTTGCCTGAATTGTGAAAATCAAGCAAAGAAAAATGAAAACTGAAACTGCAATCCACAAAAATGTTACCAAAAGTCATCACTGGGGAACTACATTTTGGGGTAAGAGGGGAATGTTATTTTACTCGCATCAGAAAGAACCCGAAAGGAACTCTTTGCGTGCGTGTGCACACATCCACACAGTTAACTTGCAGAAAGAAGGGTAAAATGCTTATCTTTAGCAGACACCTTACCATTTTAGATTCGATCGATCCTTGATCTCCCGCGAGGTTTACTTCCGTCTGTAGGCACGAGAGGAAGGAGAGTCGTGAGAAACCCGAGACTTGTAAACGAGTCCTTAAAGGACTGCGGAGCAACGCGTAACATCTGGACCTCGGCACACACCCGCCAGCGTCCCTCAGCCTCAGCAGGAGATCCATCCCGATCCCTCATCACCGGCCACGCCCCGGTGACTTCACTTCGAAGCAGGGACCGCAAGCCCGGGTGCGCTGGCCACGAGCCCGGGCTCCTCTCGCCCCGAGCCGCCCATCCAATCCCGGATCCGAGCCAGACGCCGCTTTCACCGACACATCCACTCCCCGCTCGGGTCCTCCACCCCTGAGTCCCAGAGAGGGACCCCAGGCACGGCAGACCCGGGTGGCGCGCGGGTTTCGAGCCGCAGATCTCGAGAGACCCTGGGTCGCCGGCCCCCAAGCCTCGCGCAGCACGGACCCCGGAGCCGCCTGACCACCGCCACCCCGGTCACGGGCTCCCCGGTGCGCCCTCCTCCCCGACAAACGCACAGCTCCACACCTCACGGACGCCCCCGCCCCCTCATCCTGTCCCACAGAAAGACCCACACAACAGATGCGGATTTTTTCGGGGACCCACCGGGCCTCCTAAAGGCTGCACTCCCGGGAGTTCTTCCACTTCCGAACCCTCGTTCCCCCGCCGAGACCGGCTACGGCGGCCGACGAAGGTCTGAAGTTGCAGCGGGGCGGAGCGCGAACCACGGAATTTCTGGCTCTTCCTTGGAGAAGAAACATGTCCGCGCCCAACCGGTACGGAGCCTGGGGGCGGCCATCTTTCTAGACCGGACGTACCGACGACAAGGGAGCGAGATTTTTGCCCCAGGAGCCAAGGATGGCTCCGGACAGCGAAGGGCCACTGAAACCACCCCCACTTCTCCACACCCAGCGCCGCAAGTTTCATTGATTTTTAGAGACTCGAGCTTGCACAAACATGCGTCGGGCGATGACCATCTCTGCGGGCTATGGAGGAAAGTCATCCACTTCGCGCGCACACAGACAAAAAGACTTGGAGATGACACGGTGAGCGTGGACATGTTGGAAGCTGCAAAGGAAAACGCTTCCTCGGTGGAGGACAAAGAGCAAACGGGACGACTCTGGCTGCGGGTGGAGGGCAAGAGGAAGATGCAGAGGACAAGATGGGTCTGAAGAAGCAAGTATGGAGATCGAGATCACGCCCCAAGGAAAAGTAAAAACAAAAACAAAAACAAAAAACAGCGAGTAGGAGAAACTTATTTTACACGTGCGGGATGTGGCTGCAGCCCAGTTAAGGTGCAGAGCGTCGTCACGAGCCCAGGGAAGAGGGCAGCCACAGAGGGAGGCGGGATTTTGCTGGCAGGGCTTTTCGCAGCAGGGGGTGGAGCCAATATGAAGGGCGGGGCTCCCCGAATCCAAATGCCTAAAACTTTGAAGGAGTGCCAAAGTCAACTCAGGGAGAACAAAAAATTGTGCAAGCCGTGAGTGGTGGTGTGTACCTGTAGTCCCAGCTACTCAGGAGGCTCAGGCAGGGGAAGGATCGCGTGAGCCCGGGAGGTGAGGAGGTGAGCACTCCTGCCTGGGTGACAAATACCTGGACTCCAAAAAAAAAAAATCGGTGCAAGTGCTCACACCTGTAATCCCAGCACTTTGAGAGGTCCAGGAGAGAGAATTGCCTGAGTCTAGAGGTTCAAGAACAGCCTGGGCAACTTGGCAAAACTTCATCTCTACAATAAATCAAAAAATGAGCCGGGTGTGGTGGCGCACTCCTGTAGTTCCAGTTACTCGGAAGGTGGAGGTGGAAGGATTGCCTGAGCACAGAAGGTCAAGGATGCGGTGGCCGTGAGCGTGCCACTGCACTCCAGCCTGGGCAGCGGAGTGAGACTCCAGCTCATAAGAAGGAAAGGAAAAATGGAAGAAAGAAAAAAAGAAAGAAAGAAAGGAAAGTATTCATAGGATCCTACACGGGGCTAAACCACCCATAGCCATCATAATGTACATTCTAATTTTGATCCGATGAAAATTAATATATAACCCTATTGGAAGAATGAAAGGGAAGTTTCTGAGTGCAGTGGAGTGTTTATAAAGGTTTATGTTTTGACGCCTCCTTCATGATAAATCGAGAAAATGTCCCAAAGTAAAAAAATCAGTTTCAGAAATATACGCATGTAGCTTAAAATAGCAAAATCCTAGAAAGAGTAAAAAGCCTTGCAAAACTATTTGACTTCTTAGGGGAATTGCAGAATAAAAGCGCTATGATGCAGGAATTTCACTCCTAGGAAATAACTCAAGCATAGTGAAGCAATATGGCCTGGCACGGTGGCTCATGCCTACAATCCCAGCACTCTGGGAGGCTGAGGCAAGGGGATTCCCTGAGCCCATGGGTTGGAGACCAGCCCAAGCAACTTGGCGAGACCTCATTTCTGCAATAAATAAAAAAATTAGCTGAGCGTGGTGGTGCCAGCCTGTAGTCCCAGGTACTTGGAAGGCTGATGAAGGAAACCAGAACATAAGCTGACAAGGTCCTTAAGTTTCTTGACTTGTGTTCAAGGAACCAAGCCTATATTTCCTTTGTCTCCCCTGACTTTTGGTTGCTTTTCTATGGATAGCAGAGCAGTGCAAAGCCTAGCCTGGAGGCTGCTTATCCTAAGCGATTGCCTTGCTTTTAACTTAGAGAGCACAGATGTTAAGATAAGCATAGTTTAGACATTAACATATATCTTTCCTGTATGGTTTTGCCCTCCCTGGTGTGATTTTGCCCTATATAAGAGGCATGGTGTAAAAATAAAGCTGTTCTTTCTGGCTCTCAGAGGGCCTTCCCAATCCTGCTGTTTCTTTGTCTTTCTTTTCTTAGTCTCTCCCTCCACCTCAGGCCCTGCTCAGAGGAGGTTGGAACTCCACAAGTGGCCCCTGAACAGGGACCTGAGTACTGGGGTCAGCATTGGCTGGAGGGGAACCCTCGTGGAGGCTGGCGTTTCTTGTGCAGCATTTTGATTCATTAAGTAACCAAGGGGATAGGAGTAATCCTTGGGAGTAAAACATGGGACATTTACATTCTAAGGAAAGCACTCTCTTTGTGCAGGTGTTAAAATCTATGCTGAAAGCTAGAGGAACTAAGGTTGCAGATAGACAGATAGATTTTTGCAGTTTGTAGAAGAAGTATGTCCCTGGTTTCCTGAGGCTGGAACGGTTAATCTGACTACCTGGAAAAAAGTAGGTAGTTGTTTGAAGGATTATTACCAAGCGCATGATCCTGAAGCTGTGCCAGTAGTTGCTTTATCTCTGTGGAACCTAGTAAGAGATTACTTAGACTCCTCTGATGAGTTTCATAGAGCAGAGCAGGCTCCTCCCTTGTTGTGGTGTTCCCCCTCAGCTCCTGCTCTAGCTGCCCATGATGGTCAGGAGGGACACTCTCCTAGAGATTTTCGATAGGAGCAGGATGAGGCTGCTTCTCGGTATCACAATGATGAGATATCTGTGGCCGCTCAAGCCTCTGTGACCGAGTTTCCTGAGGCTCCTAGTCTGCCTGCAAAAGAGGCTGAGCCCTCCACTCCTTTATCTTCAGATACTTTTGCTCAACTTATGGAGTTGCTTACTGTTTTAGCTAAAAAGTGCTCAGTTTCAAGAGGAAGTGCCTTCGTGTCGCACTTTGAGTTCAAAAGAGGAAGTGCCTTCAATACTGGTGTATCATTTCTCAATTTCTTTCTTTCATTTTTTTTTTGAGTTGGAGTCTCACTCTGTCACCCAGACTGGAGTGCAGTGGCCACTTCCGGCCACCGCAGCCTCGACTGCTGGACTCTGGCCATCCTTCTGCCTCAGCCTTCCAAGTAGCTGGAACTACAGGCGTGCGCTACCACACCTGGCTAATTTTTTTGATTCATTGTAGAGGTGAGGTCTCACCAAGTTGCCCAGGTGAGTCACCAATCCGCGGGCTCAGGCGATCCACTCACCTCAGCCTCCCAAAGCGCAGGACTACAGGCTGAGCCACCGAGCCCTGCTCATTCCTCAATTTTTAAGGAGGGGATCTCTCCAGGGGTTGGCAAGGGCCCTCTTGCACCTCAGTGGTCTCTCAATTAGTGTCATGGATCTGCACCCTCCCCCTTCTTGGCTCCTGTCCAAGCTCAGTCGCCTGATGTTAGGAGGCGTCTGTTGCATCTTTCCCCTTTACAGAAGGTTGTTCAGTCTGTCTTGCTGCAGGGAGACGATTTGGAAGGATTTCACGCCTATCCGGTAAAGACTACAGGCTTTGAAGACCAGGGAAGGGTACAACTGAGTCTACTGTTTAGTAATTCATAAAGGTTTTTGACAATTTTGCCAGTTCATAATTAGAAATAAGTAGGAACAGATCATTTTACATCTATGTGATGGGTTCACTCTGAAAGGGTTTTGTACCGGGCCATTTTGCAGACATTTGGAAAGTCCTGGGGAAAAAAGGCGGGTGGGGGGGGGGGGAGAGGACTCCAGAATGAGCACCAGTGAGACGAAAAGTAAACAAATCTATTGGCAGTTGCCAATAATGGCAAAACTCTAGCCACCCAAAAGAGACCTGATAAGAATAAATTTGCTAAGGGGGATAGTATCAACTGCTATGAATGTGGTCAATCTGGACATTTAAAGTGCAATTGTTTTTGGTGGCCTAAGCCCCCAGGACCCGACTAAAAGGCCACTGAAAGAGATGGTGTGGTCTCTCCCAAAAGGGAGGGGTAACACCTAGCTCAGTGATGGTGACCATTAAAGGAGCCCAGGGAGGCCCACGGCCCAGTCCAGCACTTTGTTTGCCATCACCCCAGAGAATCCTTAGGTCTGTATGAATGTGGCTAGGGTCCAAATTAATTTCTTGATTAATACTGAGGCTAAGTTTTTAGCCTTTGTGCTCATATTGAACCTCTTTCTCCTGACACCTGCTCTCTAGTGGGAGTTAAAGGTGTTCCAAAAGTTAAATGTTTCACCTAACCTCTAATAAAAAGTTACTAAAAGGTTAATTCAAATTATGATTGTAAAAGGTTATCTATAAAAAGTTAAAAAGAAGGAAAGCAAAAAGCAAAGGGAAAATATAAAAGGGTTGTTGGTGCACAAATAAGGCTTTAGAAAAAAATATATAATAATATATGAAAGAAATTCTATAAACAATCTAGACATAATAAAGTCTTTTCTGGATGCAAGTCTCCAAACATTTTCAGATTTCTCTTCAAATTTTATATAAAATTCACTTGAGTACCTTGTTCAAATTACAATCTACAACAACTTGTCAGGCTACCACTAGAGTCCAGCAATAAATTATAAACTCCAAAAGCTGGTACTTGTAATAAAGCCACAGAAATTAAAGTTTATCATTTAAATTATGCTAATAACTTCAGGCCTTGTAACTTTTGTCAAAAAGGTGATCAGTCACCACCTAAAATTGTCAAAATGTATGCCTGGCTTCACTTAATTGTTCTACTTCTTGAAAGAGGGGTTTCCCTCTTTTATTCCTGTTATTAAGCCAGAATCCAGCAATTTCATGCCTACTTAATGGTCATGCAAGGATTCCAGTCAGTGCCTACAAACAATGCCACTGCTGAAGCAGATCTGGATATCTCAAGTCAAACAGGGAGAGATTTTCCATCTCTGGTTAGGCACGACTATGCCCACTGTCAGCTCTGAAGAAGCTACAGAAAATGCCAGCACCCCATATGATTATGGGA